AAACGAAGGGGGATAAATGTTTGTCTGTTACTTTGTCCTTTGTCTGTCCAAGGGAATAGTGTGGGTAGTGGTACGGTGTGTTTATCTATCGGTTGTTTAGGGACGGGGGCGAGGGCGGCGGACAAAGTTGTCGATGTAGCTAGGGTGCAAGAGATATTCAACGTGGAGTGGTGTCTACAAGTTATGTATCCCAGTCTGTTGGAGTAGTGTCTAGGGGTTGTGATATTAGTTGAATAAATATTTGTCTTTAGGATTGTCATAAATCCTTTGTCTCTTTAATGGAATAGAATGGGTAGTGGTACGGTTGGTATTGAGGTTAGGGATGGGCGAAGGGGAAAGGGGTTGCGGACAAAGGGAAGGGGAAGGGCGAATAGTGATAAAAATAACTCACCCAGCCCCTTAATAAATAAAAATTATTGATTTGTACTTTAGAATGATTAGATTGAATGATATGTATGTTAACGTCATATCATATTTAGTTTATACATCATTATTTTGGTGAAATTTAAATGTAGACATTTTAACGGTGTGTCATTTGACACGACGTACTATAACGTTGTTGATTTTTAAAACTTGAAGTTTATAATCTTAAGCAAATTTACCACCACCTTACCACCACCTTACCACCTTACCACCACCTAAGGTGATCAAAAATTAAGATGACAATGTAAGATATAGAAAAAGAAAATACATTGAGTGGTAAAAATAAAAAATTGTCATTAGACGTAATGTATTATGTATAAGTAAACTTTCTTAAAAATTAAAGAAGTTCAAGTCAAAAAGAAGATTGATGAAAACTGTAATACTAAAGCGAACATGGGAAGGTAATCTGCTGCAAGACTAAGATATATATTCGTCTTCCTTCTAGGTTCATTGCCTTTTTTGGTTGAGGTTAAACATCGCCATGTTTTCAAATATCGCGATGTACGTCACTTCTCTCCCCTCTTACTTAGTAATCGCTTCGTCTACCTATTGTTTACAACACGCTTACAAAGAAAAAATATCCCACCCTCTACTTGAGACATAAAATAAAAAAGTGTATTGTGCCTTGTCGTCGCAGGAAACAAAAACGGTGGCGTCTAATGTTGTTAACCCTTGTCTTCCTAAATTATTTTTTAACTTGTTAAAGAAATTGAATGTTTAGTTAATGATTCTGACGCGAATTTTTTCACAAGGGACGATACTCATGGCTGTAAACAAGGCTGTTCTAATTTTAGAACAGTTGTCTTTCCTCTCGTTTCTCTATTAGGGAAGCCGTAAGGGGAAGACACGCGACGCGTCTTTTAAAATGTAAACAAGCGTGCACGGGGTGCACTTAAAATAAACCCCGCTGCGACGATTGTTAAATTTATCTGGCTCAGTGTGGTCAAATGGTGGTCAGATCAAAAGAAAATCGGAACGGTCATAAAAAAAAAAAAAAAAAAAAAAAACGTAATTACTTTTCCAGACTTGTAAAAAACATGTCTACCCCGCATACCTACGTACCAACGCACCAAGTCGCCCTGTCGCCCATTAAAAAACACGAACCTACCGAGACTTCGTTTCGTCTCAAAACCTGACTTAACGGTGGTTGAAAGAAAATTCCGACCCTTAAATATATTTTTGTTTTCGCTGACCCTCGCTATAAGCGAATAGTTACAACCATTAATCTTTCATACATAGCAAGGGACGGTTCGCATGACATGTGGAAACAAAATTTTTTAATTTGATCAAAGAATGACCGGGCGTATGATATGTGAACATAGTTCATGTACAGCTGTAGTCTAATGAAAAAATCCGAGAGCCGTGACTAATTACAGCACCAGCTGTCGCCACACTTAACGCGGAGAGGGACTTAATGGCTTCGATTAATTACCTGTTGTGATCGCTTCAGTGAGCCCGCTATTAAGCAACCACGGGGAGCGCCGGGGAGGATCACGGGCGGATCGATAAGTACAAGCTGTCGCTAATAAGTAACAGCTTGGGGTTAAATGGATGTTATACACAATGACACTTTCTAGTACACGCTAGTGTTAGTCTTTTATTTCAAACGGCGTACAACAAAGAAATTAAAAGCAAACTAATTAAAATGAATTTCAAACAAATAAATTATACAAAGTAATTAAATTAAACAACAAGTAAACAACAATTAAAAATAAAATTTAAAAATAATAATTTAAAAAAATTTAAAAATTTAAAAAATTAAAATCAAATTACGTAACTCGTTAATAATAATTAAAGTAATTATAAAATTAAATTAAAAATTTAAAAATTTTAAAAATTAAAATCAAATTACGTAACTCGTTAATAAAAATTACACATAGGTGGACCATCATACTGATGGTCAGTGGGTGCGATCAATATTAACTTGGCCCTTGTACGGTATTTGACAAGAACAAAGGATCGCTGTTGGATCGATACGTGTCGGGTGCCATTAGCGAGTAACAGGTGTCTCTAATGGATGTTTGTAGTCGACATAAACCCACGATGCGTGACCAAAATTTAATTAGGTGGGCCATCATACTGATGGTCAGTGGGTGGAATCAATATTAACTGGACCGTTGTCCAGTGTTTGACAAAAACAAAGGATCACGCGGAAAGCTACTTAATGTACGTCGTAATTACCATAACCCGTCAACCGAGCGGGGGAAACTCGGTGAAGCATAACCAATTTAATTAGGTGGGGCATCATGCTGTAATGGCCCAGCGGCTGCGATCGATATAATACCCATTAAAAACGCGCAGCGTGTGTCAACAAAGGATCGCTGATCGATAAGTAACAGATGTTACATGTCTGGTTAAATGGATGTTATACAAAGACTAGTACACGGCTAGTGTTAGTCTTTTATTTAAAACATACATACATTCAAACAAACCAACAAATTAAACAACAAAGAAAAGAAATATATCAAAGTAATTAAATTAAACAAAGTAATTAAAATCAAATTACGTAACTAGTTAATAATAATTTAACTAATTATAAAATAAAATAAAATTAAAAATAAACAAAATAAAAATAATTAAAAAGTAAACAAATAATCAAATTACGTAACTCGTTAATAATAATTACACAATATAAACAAAGTAATTAAACAATTTAAATCAAACAAATTAAACAATTACGTAATAAAAACACATTAAAATTACGTAACTAGGTCAAAAAATTAATTAAAATTTAAAAAACTCATTAAAACTCATTAAAAAACGCATTAAAATTACGTAACTAGGTCAATGATGACGTCACAAGGTCAATGATTACGTCACAAGGTCACCAAAAGGTGACTCACCCTTCACTGCTCCGCCAACCCCAGTTGGCGTAGTATTTTACTATATGTCGTTGTACCAGGCTGCGCATCCTGCTCACCCACCCTGCGGCAGCTGGCGTAGTATTTTGCTATATGTCATTGTACCAGGCCCACATCCTGCTCCCGAGTATTTTACTGTATAACCTTTGCGCCTGCGCCTCCCCTGCTCCGCCAAAAAATCGGTCCAAAAGGGACCTAATATACTACTTATATATATATATATATATATATATATATATATATATATATATATATATATATATACATATAGATATATATATATATATATATATATATATATATATATAGGGGCCTAAAAAAAAATTTTGCGGGGGGGCCATTTTTTTCTAGTTCCGCCACTGAACAAATCTCGACGTTTTACACCTCACTGATACGGAAAAAACATAATTTTGCAATCTTGTCCGTATGTCTGTGTGTCTGTCTGTGTGTCTGTCTGTGTGTAAACACGATAACTTGAGTACCGTTACAGCTAGGTTGATGAAATTTCATATATTAGTATTTTATCAAAATCGTAGATCCTGATCAACTTTTTAACGATTTCCGATAACCGGGAGTGGTAATTTTTCTACTTTGAATTTTTCAAAAGCCTATAACTTGAGTACTATTTCCGACAGATCAATGAAATTTCACATGTAAGTAAAAGATCTAATTCTCTACGTTCTGTCAAATTTTGAGTAATTTCCGTTGACCGGAAGTACTAATTTACGCTATTTCCGATTTCTCGAAAAACGCAAGTAAATTTATAAAGTACTAATAATATAGCGCAATATTATGCACATTTTGTTTTGGCGTTCGCTTGGTGCGCAATTATTTTTTCTATGAGATTCTATTCTATTTTTAAAAGTTTAAGTAATTAAAAATCATGTCTGTATTCCAAGTTATATAAGAATATTCGAGAAAGTTTAGGGGAGATATTTTGTCTGAGATATTTTGTCTGAGATCATTTGTCCGTGATATCATTTGTACTGATATATTTTGTCCTGGTATCTTTTGTCCTTGAGATCATTTGTCCTTGAGATCATTTGTCCTGAGATCATTTGTCCTGAGATCATTTGTCCGTGAGATATTTTGTCTGAGATATTTTGTCTGAGATCATTTGTCCTGAGATCATTTGTCATGGAACCCTCCCGGTTTATTTAAAATTAAGTTAAATTGATTTTTTTTAAATGTGATAAACTATAGCTTCAGCCTTTGTAGGTGTGGACGATAAACTTTAGCATACAGCCTTTGTAGGTGTGGACGATAAACTTTAGCATACAGCCTTTGTAGGTGTGGAGGATAAACTTTAGCATACAGCCTTTGTAGGTGTGGAGGATAAACTTTAGCATACAGCCTTTGTAGGTGTGGAGGATAAACTTTAGCATACAGCCCCTACAGGTGTGGAGGATAAACTTTAGCATACAGCCTTTGTAGGTGTGGACGATAAACTTTAGCATACAGCCTTTGTAGGTGTGGAGGATAAACTTTAGCATACAGCCTTTGTAGGTGTGGACGATAAACTTTAGCATACAGCCTTTGTAGGTGTGGACGATAAACTTTAGCATACAGCCTTTGTAGGTGTGGACGATAAACTTTAGCATACAGCCTTTGTAGGTGTGGACGATAAACTTTAACATACAGCCTTTGTATGTGTGGAGGATAAACTTTAGCATACAGCCTTTGAAGGTGTGGAGGATAAACTTTAGCATACAGCCCCTACAGGTGTGGACGATAAACTTTAGCATACAGCCTTTGTAGGTGTGGAGGATAAACTTTAGCATACAGCCTTTGTAGGTGTGGAGGATAAACTTTAGCATACAGCCTTTGTAGGTGTGGAGGATAAACTTTAGCATACAGCCTTTGTAGGTGTGGACGATAAACTTTAGCATACAGCCTTTGTAGGTGTGGACGATAAACTTTAGCATACAGCCTTTGTAGGTGTGGAGGATAAACTTTAGCATACAGCCTTTGTAGGTGTGGACGATAAACTTTAGCATTCAGCCTTTGTAGGTGTGGAGGATAAACTTTAGCATACAGCCTTTGTAGGTGTGGAGGATAAACTTTAGCATACAGCCTTTGTAGGTGTGGAGGATAAACTTTAGCATACAGCCTTTGTAGGTGTGAACGATAAACTTTAGCATACAGCCTTTGTAGGTGTGGATGATAAACTTTAGCAAACAGCCTTTGTAGGTGTGGACGATAAACTTTAGTATACAGCCTTTGTAGGTGTGGAGGATAAACTTTAGCGTACAGCCTTTGTAGGTGTAGAGGATAAACTTTAGCGTACAGCCTTTGTGGGTGTGGAGGATAAACTTTAGCATACAGCCTTTGTATGTGTGGATGATAAGCTTTAGCATATAGCCTTTGTAGGTGTGAACGATAAACTTTAGCATACAGCCTTTGTAGGTGTGAACGATAAACTTTAGCATACAGCCTTTGTAGGTGTGGAGGATAAACTTTAGCATACAGCCTTTGTAGGTGTGGAGGATAAACTTTAGCATACAGCCTTTGTAGGTGTGGAGGATAAACTTTAGCATACAGCCTTTGTAGGTGTGAACGATAAACTTTAGCATACAGCCTTTTTAGGTGTGGAGGATAAACTTTAGCATACAGCCTTTGTAGGTGTGGAGGATAAACTTTAGCATACAGCCTTTGTAGGTGTGGAGGATAAACTTTAGCATACAGCCTTTGTAGGTGTGGAGGATAAACTTTAGCATACAGACTTTGTAGGTGTGGAGGATAAACGTTAGCATACAGCCTTTGTAGGTGTGGAGGATAAACTTTAGCATACAGCCTTTGTAGGTGTGGAGGATAAACTTTAGCATACAGCCTTTGTAGGTGTGGAGGATAAACTTTAGCATACAGCCTTTGTAGGTGTGGACGATAAACTTTAGCATACAGCCTTTGTAGGTGTGGAGGATAAACTTTAGCATACAGCCTTTGTAGGTGTGGAGGATAAACTTTAGCATACAGCCTTTGTAGGTGTGGGCGATAAACTTTAGCATACAGCCTTTGTAGGTGTGGGCGATAAACTTTAGCATACAGACTTTGTAGGTGTGGAGGATAAACTTTAGCATACAGCCTTTGTAGGTGTGGAGGATAAACGTTAGCATACAGCCTTTGTAGGTGTGGAGGATAAACTTTAGCATACAGACTTTGTAGGTGTGGAGGATAAACTTTAGCATACAGCCTTTGTAGGTGTGGAGGATAAACTTTAGCATACAGCCTTTGTAGGTGTGGAGGATAAACTTTACAGACTTTGTAGGTGTGGACGATAAACTTTAGCATACAGCCTTTGTGTGTGTGGAGGATAAACTTTAGCATACAGCCTTTGTAGGTGTGGAGGATAAACTTTAGCATACAGCCTTTTTAGGTGTGGGCGGCGCTAGGCTTCTAACCCGAAAGTCAGCATAACATCCCTGAGCCCAGTGGCGTAGCGAGGTCGGGTGTCACCCGGTGCGGCACTTAATGGTGTCACCCCCCAGAGGTGGAATTATCATTTTTCTCTATATAGTTTGCTATTTTTTGCCTTGTTGACACCCCCCTAAATGGTGTCACCCGGTGCGATCCGCACCCCCCGCCCCCCCCCCCCCCCCCCCTCGCTACGCCTCTGCTTGTGTCCACCCAGTTATGATAGGTTCCTAACTCGTGTTAGGGAAAGTAAAGGCGGCTGGGCAAAGTGCTGAACACACCTTCATATGTTGAGGTCAAGAAACATTGAACTCTACTTCATCTGCCCAATAGATCGCTAGGTCTAACGAGGATTCTTTACTTATTCTATGTTTATGTGGTGTTGTTTGTGCTGTTGTATGAGCTATTGTATATATTATTGTATATGTAACCTACGTGTTAAATCCGCCAAAACAGCGTCTCGTGATGTAAGGATTCCACTTAGCAAAATGTTTAGCTAGATTCTACATCAAATCAACTTGCAACGTTTGTTTGTTTTTTTAAATTCTTTTGATATTGTATTCCCTTCTCATAAGGGGACAGCTTAGGATTTCAAGAAAAAAAAAAAGATACGCTGGAAGTGTGACGACTGACGTATCGTAACGTTTTGTATGCAGTATTCACAAAATATGCTCAAATTAAATGACGTTATTTATGAATGACACCCCCCCCCCCCCATCTTTAAAACTAACAATATGCTCAATTATTCTAATTTATTTAGTAGGCTATTTTATAAACCTTCGAATACTTTCTGATATATAAAATAATTATCAATGTGCTATATTAAAAGCATTAATGTATTAATAATTAAAGCCAACCTATAAATCTATTACGTAATAATGAAAGCATTAATTTGACGTTGTGAAAAGTGATAATGCAAAATAAATTAAATTAAAACCGTTTTAAGCTTAATTTAGTTTTTACTAAGAATACGTACCTATTCAATGAGAACAACAGAATTATTTTTAGTTTTAAATGTTTTTTTAAATTAAGAGATGCGATCTGGAGTTCTATACGTAATAATTTTTTTTGCACGAATCCACCAGGTATTTATACTGGTCTAAATCCTAGATATACGACACTTTTACTTATGTTACACTTTCATTTTGTAAAGAAATCCCCAGGTTAAAAATAAACAATCCTGGAAAAAAATGTTTGTTTGAAAATGAAACTGCGGGACCGCATGACAGATTTTTATTATAATGTATTTAGATCTAGAAAGTTTTTTCCACACCTCAGTGGATAAGGGGATGGAAGTGGAGCATAAGTGACAATGTGAATGCTACATGGGTGGAGGTGGGGTGGAGTAACGAGGTTTTTTTTAATGCAAAATAAAAATGGTGATAAACATGTTAGAAGTATGGTTGTTTTAGGAAGGTGGGATGCAGTAGCGTACGCAGGGGGGAGCATGGGGAGCGGACGCTCCCCCATACGATCATTTTGAGGATAGTTGCGCCTTTTTCGGAGAATAATTAAATAATATTTAAAACAAGTCTTCAAAAAAAAAAAACAGCAAACAAAAATACCTAACAGAAACTACACATTTAAACCTGTCATGTTATGTAGCCTAAATTTCACATTTTTTTAAATGACTCATCATGGCTTACTTCCCGGAGCCTAGCGAGTTGTTAGACCCAGTTCAATATACATTTTGTATTTAGAGGGGGGGGGGCTATTATCTTTGGGTTAAAAGTCTAGAGACGTAGGTTAATTGTTTACTTAGCAGAAAGTGAAGTTGCAAGTCCCTTGTCTGTCAGCTGATCTAGAACATTTTCCAAAAGGCACCTTGCACATATGCACATATGCACATATTTTTAGGTGAGCTGTGTTAAAAAAATAATGCAACTATATGGACGGGGTGGGGTGGGGAGGGGGGGGGAAGAAGCTGAATAAATGTACAGAAAATGTACATTCTCACACAACTTCATGATAGTCAGCACGTACAGATGTACTTAACGAACATATACTAAATACCTCGGGTAAATTCAGTTGAAACCATTGAAAATGCTGAGGATAAAAGTAAAACTGCCTCCAGAAGTTGAGATGAATAACCAAACTTAGCCCGCGATGGGTAGGCAGACCCCCCCCCTCCCACCTTAATCACACCTGATCTCTACATGGGACCCCCACAGGACTGGATCACCCATTACCCAGCTAACACAGTATGTAATACCATTGTGGGCCCAAGCTTGGCCCAATGTTGTAATCATGGCCAAACATTGGACAAGCTTACGCCAGGGTACAGCCAAGATTTGTACATGCTTGCATCCCTTGATACCTTGATATTTAACCGTTTTTACCTTGGCTGCCAAGATTACACTGATTTATGTATTCACTGCAGAAATTTTAGTTAAATATGCTTGTTAAACTTAATATATGTTAACTAAAATTAATTTATCTTTTAATATCATGCTCTAATGTAAACATAGCATCAATAACAGACTACGTTGATGTGTTAAACATTTTGTTAATCTTTTTAAAATTGTGTGCGCTACTGCCACCGGCCCCCTGTCGCCCATTGTCGCTTTGTTCACATTCCTTCCTATTGTTCGCAAGCCAGCATCCCGGTGCTTCGCCATTTTTCTTAACAAAAGACTTTGTATCCAGTCACAGTAAAACAGGTAGGCCCACTGTAGCCATTTTAGTTCAACAGTGAGAAGTAGTATAACTGTATGTATGCAGAATCTGGAAAACTCGTATTTTTTTGTTGGAAACTTTAACTTTATGGGCCTAAGTCATCAAATAAAAGTTATAAAAGGTAGTTTATTTGAGGTAATAAAATGAGCCTAGATTAGATCTAGATCTAGACTAGATCAGCTAGATCTATATATTAATAATACTAGAGTCTATATATTCTGTTTATTTTGGCATTAGGCTATAATTACATTTTACAATAATCTCCTTTATGATAGATCTAGATAGATCTAGATTCTAATCATACTAAATAACTAAAAATCGTAATCAGAGGGCGGTTAATTTTGACAGCACTTTTTTTTTGTATTGAAAAGTATGCAAGTACGTTTGGGGTTATATTGATTATTGATAGATCGATGTATTTATTGGTTTTCAACTTTAGGTATAATTATCACGCACAGGGGAAGGGGGGGGGGGCTTAAATGTTTATAAATTAATAAATAATCATTCACTTTAACTTTTAAAAAAAACTTAATTTTATTGTTCTAGGCCTATTTGTGTAAGGATTTGAAACTGTCTTTAATAATTAATTCAGAGAGAGAGAGAGAGGAACAGTAGACACAATTATAGAACAAATTTCTACATGCTAAACAAACAGTCACAGTGTATTTTGATAGGTATTAATTTTGAAAAAAATTAGTCAACTAGAATTCTAAATTGATTCAAGATTGTCATTCAAATTTCTATTACTGTTACAGCTCCCTATGGGAGAATAAGATGTCATCATCATCACTCCTTTGTGGTCCCTGGGGAGCAAAGGGCTGCAACCACACATCTCCACCTAAGTCTGATATATACCCAATTTAAGACTATGAAATAAAAAAGGTGGCTAGATATAGTGTTGACTACACAAATCCTTTATATACAGAGATCAAATAAACAGAGATACTTAAAAATTAGTATCTAATCTGGATATCATTTATTGTATCACTCACTCATTTTATTATTATATTTAATAACTAAGAATGCCATTTATTTTCAGGTCTCCAGGTGTTGTGTGTATCAATCAGCCCACTGGAGATATATCAATCTTTTAATAAATTATAAGGTCCCCACTGCTTGATACTTCACCAAATACTGGCTACACCAGAAAATGACTAAATGTTCTTAACACCTAATAACTGTAAGTTTACATTGTTTCAAAGTGAATAATAATTTTCATTTAGTAATTTTTGCTTGCATGTAATGATCAGCATGTGTAGTTAATGCCTTTACTGATATTAGTAAAATAATTTCAGACCACAAGCATTACTTCTGGATCACTCTGAAGGGTCTAATCGTTCAATTACTGAATTGATAAAGTTGATGAAATTGCTCAAAAGTTGTCTGGCACCTTCTTAACTCAGAGACATAGGGTAAGGGGTTTATAATATTTATATACATACTATTATTTTTTTTATTACCAGGTCTTTTTTTTTCACTTTTGTTTATAAATATATATATATATATATATATATATATATATATATATATATATATATATATATATATATATATATATATATATATATGCAGTATAAGTGTTACCTGGGTAGCATGAACACCCCAGACCACCAGTCTTTATACCTATATAATATATCGTTACAAGGTAGCAAACATGATGTTAGGGGCTTCTTGTTGTATGTTCAGTGCAGTGCAAAATAAAATAAACATAATAAATTTAGTGCAAAATGAGCAGTGTATGGTTGTAATTATTTCATAAATGACTTTTAGTGTGTAACTTTTCTTTTTTAGAATGTGGATGGATTATGACATACCTTGCACAAATCAACAACCAGGCTTTTATTGGATTTGAATCCCAAAGGAAAGAGAAAGTTTGTTTTCCAAAACAAACATGGAAAATATCAGAAACCAACAAAACACAAGCAGGCAGAGTGTTATGGACCCAACTTTGGGGAATCTCCTAAAACCAAGTATAAAAATAGAGAGGTGTGGTTGTGTCTCTCAGCTCCACAAGGGTCCACAAGAATGAGGACAACAGTGATTTTCGTAATAATTTTAGATCAGATTTAAAAAAAAATTTGATCAGATGGATCAGGTTAACAGTTTAATACATATTGCATTTAAGTGCTTTATGAAAAGAAAAGATGCTCTTACCAAAATAGTCTAAGAACAATGCTGATTTTAAATTAATAAATTGTTTACTTTTGTAATAATATAATAATTTAAGTTGGCATTGTATGTATGTTTAGTGTAGATTTAATGCCCTAAATTAAATATACAATTGACATTTTTTTCTTTAAAGAAATAGTTGCAAATTTCTTTCATTATTTAGTTTCACTGTACAATCTGAAAAAAGCTTGCAACATTTGTATTGACAATACTTCTGCTGGTGATATTTATTTCTAATTAATGAAGTAAATTAATATATATTCAGTTTACTATAATTAAATACCTCATACTCGAGACAAAAAAACATTTATTGAATATCGCAGTGATATTCCTGTTCTACACAATGCGTATAAACCCTCGAACCATCTGTCTTTTGAAAGATTGTACATTTTGTATACCCAATGGCATTCATTTCAACACTATTTAACCACAATTATAATCTAGAGATCCTGAACATATTTTCGTTCTGTTATTTATGGACAAGGCAGACTGGTCCAGCATTAAAATGTAAACCTTAATTAGAATACTTAAACGAGCTATGCAATTAAATGTTGTTAGACAAATATTTTATACTTTTTATTTTTAATGTTATGTTTACGTATCATAGTACAAGACAGCTTCTGTATTCTTGTACAGTAAATTAAGTTTTTACATTAGTTTAATTTAAACTGTAGGCCTGCTTAACATCTGTTACATTATATGAAAATGTTTTGTATATTTGTTTTAATTTGTTTGTATAAAAGTCAAAATGAAAGTTACTACACTATTATTTACATATTCTTTTTCAATCAATACTTTATAGTATAGTTATAATTTTCTTACAATTGAATGGATGGTATAATACAGATTTTAATAGATGAGCAGTTCTTGTGTATGTATTGCTGCTTTACTACATTTTGATTAAAATTTCTTTCACATTTTGAAATTACCTTTGTAAATATTATGACTTATATGAGAATGGATCTTTTTGTATGCTAAAAATAAAAATTTGAGCCAAGATGTAGCCAGGATATAATACAGGCTGAGCCAAGGTATAGCCGAGATATAGCCATTATTGGGCCAAGATGTAGCCAGGATATAATACAGGATGAGCCAAGGTATAGCCAATATTGGGCCAAGATATAGCCATTATTGAGCCAAGATGTAGCCAATATTGGGCCAAGATGTAACCATGATATAGACAATATTGGGCCAAGATATAGCCAATATTGAGCCAAGATGTAGCCAATATTGGGCCAATATGTAGCCGGGATATAGCCAATGTTGGGCCAATATGTAGCCGGGATATAGCCAATATTTGGCCAAGATCTAGCCAATGTTGGGCCAATATGTAGCCGGGATATAGCCAATATTGTGCCAACATTGCGCCAACATCATGCCGAGTTTCACTACCAATGTTTCGCCAAGGTTAAGCCAATGTTGCACCAAGATGTAGCCAATATTGGTAACCAATGTTTAGCCAATATTGGGCCAATATATGTGTGCTGACTGGGTAAGAGTTTCTTCCAGACATCTCTTCGGAAGATAGTCTACCGCCCCCCCCCCTCCGGAATGAGATGGAATTGATATAGTAAACATACACTTTTACTAGTGTCCGCCCCCCCCCCCCCCCCCGAAAATTTCGTGTGCCCCCCCCCCCCCCCGGAGAAAAAAGTCTGGAAGAAACACTGCACCCATGGCATTTAACGTTCGCCTCCACGTCTATCAGTGCCGTCTGTATACATAGGGCTCCTTGAGTTATCTTTCCTGTAAAGATGGCGTGCTGCATCCGTCTCCACATTGACCCGTATCCAGGGTTTTTTTTTTCATGCAGTTTTCAAGGGCAAGTAAAAACTTCCATGACGCATAACCAGTTGACACGTAAACTTAATTGTGTTGAAGGGGATCCCTTCCTACACTAAAATTAAGAACGAAGAGGGAAAACTAAATTTTAGCAGTTATTTCGTTTTTAATTTTTTTTTATTTTATAAAATTTGTTTTTTTTTGTTTTTTTTTTTGTAAATCGTAAATTATTTAGAATAAAGCAACGATAACCGATGTTTTTTTTATTTGTTTTTTTTTTTTTTTTACAAAAATGGACCTAGATTGATATTATTTTTATCAGTCAGTATATTGTTTTGTTTGTAAATAATATGGAAACAGTTTATTTCGTTAAAAAAAATAATAAAATGCCAACAAAATTTGTGGGTCGGGGTCGCAGGAACAGGTGAACTCTACTTCATCTGCCCAGCCGACTATTACGTCTAAAGGTGTAATTTTCTTGTCCTCGTTTATTGGATAGATTGAAATATTACAGCACTAAGCACAAAATAAAATTGCTGAGAATCTGTTAAGGGAAGGTACTCTTATTTTCATATAAATTAATAGTTAACTGATTTGCTTCCCTTTGACTAAATTTGTAATTATTTTTAACCAAAAAAAATTGCTTATCAATTTTAATTTTAACCTATTTTTACTCCCTACCTCTTCTCACTTTTAGGCCTTTAGTCCCAATAATATTAATCCGAACATTATGTTTGTGCTTTTTTAAGGATTTCAATATAGGAATGGTCGTAATTAAATAAATAGTCTTTCTATCACATATATCATTTAACTATTTACAGAGATTATTAGAAATTGGATTCATACCACATCTCAATGATTTTTTAAATTGATTTTTTTTTAGGAATGATGAGATGATTGATAAGCTGTTGATATCGACAGACTATACAAAGAAGCATTACATGTAGCACCAGAAGGCATCGAGTGATATTATTTATGGCAATGGTTCTTAACCTTTTTTTTTTTTTTTTGAAATACCGAATCCAACCAGCTTCATAAATGCGTATTCACCGAACCCTTCTTAATAGGAAAAATAAAATATGATTTTTTTTCAAATTCAGATCATAGGTACATGATTTACTAGTGCGCGCACTGCGCACTGCGCACACACACACTCAAACACACGTACACACACATGCACACACACACACACAGCAACATCTAAGTTTTCAAAGAAGAAAAAACATTAAAATTTTCGCGCAAAAACACAAAAAAATTCATAAAAAACGTTTTAATAACAAGCTTTTATGTACTAATGCACTAAAAAGGAGAAAATAAATTATATACTACTATTTAAATAACTAGAAAGAAAAGCGTAAGTCACTTGAGTACTTTAGTACCTATTGGATACCTTTACTAATGTTAAGGAAGACACCCACGCTTTTCTTTCTAGTTATTTAAATAGTAGTCTATAATTTATTTTCTACTTTTTAGTGCATTAGTACATAAAAGCTTGTTATTAAAACGTTTTTTTATGAATTTTTTTTCAGTACTTTACATGCTTTATTTACAATAGTGTTACATGACTAAAAACCATTGCGCGTCTATTGAACGTGATGGCGCAGCTATTGAACCTGATGGCGCAGCTACTGAACGTGATGACGCGTGTGGTGTGGCTGGATAGACATGCCTAGTAATTCGGTCCAAATTTTAATTAATTCATAAAAAATTAATTAGGCATCCAATTAAGTCAAATTTAGTTTCAGATTGCATTGTCTTATGTCTTGACCCACGTGCCAACTGTGAATCGTATCGGTCAAGTAGAACTGTCCGAATTTTCACTCCTGCGTTTCTATCTAGACTGGGGGGGGGGGGGCGAAAACTTCAAGTGCCCCCCTTCGGAGAAAAAGTCTGCAAATCACGCAGTTAGAACGCTGCCTTCCATCAAGTTCCATTATACATGTGAATCCATATTGTAAATATTCGTCCAACTACTTTTTTTTTTGCTCTACATAGTTTTAAGTTTATAAGTAATCACACGACGTGTCAACAGCGCGTAAATACAGGATCAACGCGAACCTGTATAGGTGGCGTTGATACAACTGCGTGACGTATGTGTGTCGTGACGTCAAAAGTTCCATGATTTATAAATATCACGATACCTATACGTGTTATCTCGCTCTGTCGCACTTAATTATTATGTCATCGGCCGCGGCCTCTAATTCTATCGTCCTCATTGGGGGTCATCCATAAATGACGTCACGCTTTTTTAGACGATTTTTACCTCCCCCCTTTCCTCCGTCACACATTGTCACAAAAAGCCAGACCCCCCCCCCTAAAATGACGTCACACCTCAGCCTACAACCCCCCCCCCCCCCAAATTGCAGTTGAATTTTTCTTTAAACATCGATATTTTTCCAAAATCTTGTCTTAACTTGTCAAAATAGAGTATTTCAATCAATTCCCATTGCAATTTATTAAAACAGTTTTCTAAAACGCGAAATAACGTCTAAAATTCGTTTTCTAACATTGCTTTTTTATAATGCAAAAGTGTGACGTCGCACCATCTGACGTCACATATGGACGCCCCCTTGACAAAATCCGATAGCACTTCATTAGTCGGGTATGTGTTTTGACCTTCGACGAACCACTGAGATTGACTCACACGAAATAACGGCTAACATCTTGTTTTTTTTTTTATTTTAATTGTTTAGAGGAGACATTAACATTTACAATGTTTAACTTTATTTCACTGGAACGAACAGTTACGTATTAATAGTAAACCTCGCTCGCCATCTCTTTTATTGTTGCGGATTGTCAGCCATTGAAAATAAAGGTGCGTGTCTTCTCATTGGCTAACAGTCTAACAGGTAAACACCAACCTGTACCGACTGTCACACAGTGTCCCCTGCACTGCGAAGGCAATCAATTCGATCTAGAATCTTGATATCTAGGTCGCGAACGAAGAAGATTAGAAGTACGTTACCTTTTCGTGAATGTGATCTACTGATAGTTTTATGTGGATTTCATAATGGACTAATAAATTTTCAAAGGGCACATGCGTGTGTCACACAGGTGTTGAAAGTTGAAATTATTGAGTCCGTCTCATATTATAATTTATTATATTATTATTATATAAATAATTATATTATTATTAAATAATTTATTTCATCATATTTCTATTCAGTGATTCACTAATCTCATTCTGAATTCACACCATTGTTCTTGGTTTTTAATGTAATTTCTTTTTTGCTAACATAGTCAGTGGGTGGTATGAAGTATAGGCCTATCTATTAGTAGTATCTATTCACTATTCAGAGTTTCTTCCAGGTATTTCCCCCCCCCCCCCCGCGAAGAAAGTCTACCCCCCCCCCCCCCCCGAACAAGATGGAATTTTTGTAGTAAACATATACTTTTACTAGAGTCATCGTTCCCCCCCTCCCCCCACTCCCTGGAGAAAGACGTCTGGAAGAAACACTGCGCCTATTGACTATTGAGTAGCCCTATAGAAAACATATAGGCTACTTTTACCAGTGTCCTCCCCCCTCCCACACCATTTAATTTCTTTTTTGTTAACATAGTCGGTGAGTGGTACAAAATGGAATTTTTTGCACCTATAGAAAACATATAGACCTACTTTTACCAGTGTCCTAAAATATCGTAGGGATCATCTTGTTTGATGGACTAGTTCAGTTTAGGGTTAGAAAGAGATAGGCCTTAGGCTACTAGGTTTAATAGTTTAACATTAATTTTTCTTTCATTTTTAGTGTTACAGTTCCTATTGTCAAACAAAATTCAAGTAGGCGTCGAGCCCTAAACTAGTAGTGAAATAATAGTGCCTTGCACTTTAAAAAACGTAAACACCTTCATTAATAAAAGTTATTATAGGCCTACCTAGGCCCATTGTGTGATTATTAACTGTGGTTAAAATTAATTACTAAGCATATAGTAGGCCTGTATGAGACTATTATAAATAGCTAAAGTGTCCCAAAATTCAACTTTAAAAAAAAAGTGTTCTTCCGGGAATTTACTTTTCAAATACTGATCAGCTGATGAATACTTAAAGCAAAATGGTCTTGGCACATCGGAAATTGTTAGCGTTATCTGTGATAGTTGCGATGGTTGGTGTTGGGCTGATTGTGGCGGCGTTCGCCACGGATCACTGGATTACATCCTCGCCTAAAGGCAACGACACAGTTCACTCAAATGGAACAGAGAAAGGTGGCTCGGCCAGCGGATACACAGCCAACATTACTTTTGGGCTTTTCACGGGGTACAAGCTTATTGACTTTGGTATAGGACCACGCCCAAGCTCTTTAGCGCGTAAGTAAAATGTACACATTTCATAGTCTTCAGTAGCCTGTACACATTTTATAGTCTTGAGTAACCAGTTTACCAGTACACATTTTATAGCGTTATGTACACATGTTATAGTCTTAAATAACCAAAACATAAACCAGAACACAAATATTAGTCTAATGTAACCTTACACATTTTATACAGTCTTAAGTTACTTCTACACCTTTTCTTTAGCCTTAAAATATAGCTTTATACAGTCTGCTAGCAGGTATATAATGTGACTACGGTTATAATATTATCAACATAACATTCTACTAAATAATACAGTAACTGCTATATTACCATACACCTTTACCGTTACCCCACAACCCAGTGACCAATGTTGCAGATACACTTGTATTGTGTTGAAAGCTAGTGTCAAATGATGATATATAACATTTCACTTTACCACCCCCATATAAAAAAATTATAAACCACCCCATCTCATGGGATGGCGTGGCCTTGAATTAGTCTGCTCACCCAGGTGTCTCATGTTCGAAACCGGGTTCACGTAAAAAAAAACGTTCCTGAGTCAGCCCAGCTCTGATGGGTACCCAACTCATGTTAGGAAAAGTAAAAGGCAGCTGGGCATAGTGCTGACCACCCTATCCCTTTATATGCCAAGGTTACAGAAACATGTGAACTCTACTTCACCTGCACCATGGACTGTCATGTTTGAAATAGGAACATTTTTACCTTGTATGTGTCAATATGTTTCCTTTATTTCACCATATAAAATTGTTCAGCAATAAGCTCACCGTTGGACTGGGAGTGTGGAGCTCTGTTATATTCTACTGAATGAAGTCTTGTCATTTTGATCTGAACTTGAGAGTTTTTGATCAGTAAATAGTGAGTAAAGACTTCAAGTTTTAACAACATAACATGTCTATTGCAGTTCGCTGTAACACATCAGTCAAAGTGTGTGCATACGCAAGCAAAGATGACGACGCAGACTACACATTTGCTGACATGGTCCAGGACTTCAAAAACCAGAGTGGAGGTAGGATTTTAAATATTTTTTATTCCACTATAATTGTACAATCCTACTTTTTTTGTTTTCAAATATGAATGGTTTTTGTTTAACCCCTATGTGTAATGCAAGGAAAAGGATATTTAGGGCTTAATTGAATTGATGTGTTTGTTTTTTGCCTGTTTATAAATGAATTTTCCAAACTAAATTTTTATTGTCTGAGTTAAACAGTTTTAAAAAATAAGTTTAAATAAATAAGTACATTTTATTTCCCACATTTAAGCTTATACCTAAGGTAAGAGTTTACTATCAAAACTAACATTCAGTCAGATAAAGTCTGCAAACTCTATAATAGACAACATTCTATTTAGTTTTTTTTTTTATTCTTTTAATCAACACCTGTATATATTAACATGCACACATATATGCAATTCATTAAATATGTTTCAACTGTAAAATAATTTTCTTGGCTTCACTTTCTTCTAATCAAACTTTTCTCCTCATATTTTGTCTAACACATTTTTATACCTATAGCTTTTTAATAGTTCTGTTGCTAACTCTAGTATTTATTTTTCTGCTACTTTTTAAGAAGTTCTACATAAATAATGGTTTAGAAGTTTCCAGAGGCCAAGTGTCAGTGACCATTATTGTGTAGGCCTCTATTTAGGCAAACATTTGCTACAAACTTTGGCTGTTACAAATCTTATTTTACTTGTACATAGTTTTAATATTTCACAGTGACCCACTCTACAGACCTAACAAACACAAAGAATTTTAAAAAATTTAAATAAAGAAATGTCTTGGCATTAACCAAGGGCAGAGCACTCAAAGAATGCCGTGGGAAGCTAGGGCAAAGTCTATTCTTTAAGTCATTAAATTAGACCTGTGTTGTTATCTTAAAGTGGTTGTCCAGAGTTAATTGTACCTAAATTTTTCTTCTTCTTTGAAATGCTGAACTGTGTCTATTCAGTTAGATGCATTTTTATCTCTCTATACTACTTTTTTGAATGGTTTGCCAGGAAAAGCTGTATTTTAAAAAGTGTACACAACACCAAGACATTGATTTGTTTAAATCCCATTTATCTCATCAATATCTGGTCTACCTGCTATAATTCACCCCCCCCCCCTTTGTTATTGTCGCACTCAAAACCACACCCTCCCATAAAATGACATCTGGCTGACTTTAGCATACCACACCCCAACAATTGCAATTTTTTTAAAAAAACCTGCTATTTCTTTCTTAAAATAATTACTCAACTCAGTCAATATTGATTCTACAAATCAATTTTTATTTTAAGTAATTTAAGCCCTAGATCTAGTTATTGATTGCTTCAGATCAGTAATCTCCTTATAAAACTTGTACAGTAGCATGCAACAACTGCTTTGTTTCAAATTATTTTTTTAACTCATGGGGTGTTGGCAAGAAATGTAAACTCAGCAGCTTACTGCGGTTGATTTACAATCGTCTGCTACACCATAAGCAGTTAGAGTGGGAACTCTACATTACTTCTTTTTTTTTAATGCAAAAGTATGTCGTCAGACTTTCTGAATCCCCTCCCCCACTTTACACATAGTTTTAAAAAAGTCATACCCCCCCCCCCCCCCCCACTCTCCCTAATACGAGTGTGACGACATTTACGGTCGATCCTTTATCGTAAATAAATGGATTTTTTAAATCGACCCTTCAGTGCAAATCTTACTTTAAAACAAACTTCTATAAATCTATTGCTCGGGGGTTTCTTTTGGGTATCTCTTCGCCCCCCACCCCCAACTAAATAGAAAAAATACAGTCATTTAAATAGAAAATATATAGTTTAACCAGTGTCCGACCCCCTCCCACACGATCCCCGGCAATTCAAGTCCACTCCACCCTCACCAAAGTTTTACGTGCCCCCCCCCCCCCCCCCCCCCCTGTTTGAGGAAAATGTTCTAAAGAAGCAGTGCTGCTGTTAACAACAACAACAAAAATAATGTAGTTGCCATAATTTCACTCCAGTAAAAAAATAAAACCATTCATTATTGAAGGAATCTGTTGAGTCAGTCCGAGCCAGGTAGTGAGCGTGTCTAAATAAACCATGATGACGCCAGCACTCTCACATCCGGTCGATACCATTTACCACCCCGTCACGCGCCTCACCCATGCCAGGTTGGACTTAGTCAAGTCAGGCATGTTTCTGATAAGCTGGCTGAATTGTTTTTTATATTGTTGACTCGCGAACCTTATAGGGCCGAGACGAATTTAGGATGTATTCTATGAGTTAAAACGTGTCAAACAGGCATGTTTGAGACAAGCTAGCTGATTTGTTTTATATATATATATTGTTGCCTCGCGAACTTTAAAGGACCGACACTGAATTAGGATGTATTCTTTAAGTTTAAACGTCATCATCAGCACCCTGTTTTCGTCGGTACCCGCTTCACACGGGGCCGACACTTAAAGTTGTTTCCGTATTTGCTGCGGTTACTGTCAACGCTGTTGAAAGTTCCCCCAGAAAGCACGTCTATCGCCAGCTGTGTTTCATCAAACCTGTCGTCCCCGCCAGCCCCCCCCCCCCCCCCACGGACGAAATAGAAAAAAAATGTAAATAGAAAATATATACTGTAACTAGGTTCCTACTACCCCCCCCCCCCCCCCCGGCCCTGCCCCTCCAGAAAAATGTCTGAAAGAAACGTTGGTTGTCAGTTGTTTCTCGGCTGTGCGTCTCCGTGTTTTCCATAGCCTCCCCAGTTTCGTTCTCCCGTATGAAGACCAATTTAGAGCCCCTGTTGGTAGTTTACATGGCCCAATACCTGTTTCAGTGCATGGCCCAATATATGTCTCAGTACATGGCCCAATACATGTCTCAGTACATGGCCCAATACCTGTCTCAGTACATGGCCCAATATATGTCTCAGTACATGGCCCAATACATGTCTCAGTACATGGCCCAATACATGTCTCAGTACATGGCCCAATACATGTCTCAGAGCATGGCCCAATACCTGTCTCAGTACATGGCCCAATACATGTCTCAGTACATGGCCCAATACCTGTCTCAGTACATGGCCCAATACCTGTCTCAGTACATGGCCCAATACATGTCTCAATACATGGCCCAATACCTGCCTCAGTACATGGCCCAATGCCTGTCTCAGTACATGGCCCAATACATGTCTCAGTACATGGCCCAATACCTGTCTCAGTACATGGCCCAATACCTGTCTCAGTACATGGCCCAATACCTGTCTCAGTACATGGCCCAATACCTGTCTCAGTACAGGGCCCAATACATGTCTCAGTACATGGCCCAATACCTGTCTCAGTACATGGCCCAATACCTGTCTCAGTACATGACCCAATACCTGTCTCAGTACATGGCCTAATACCTGTCTCACTACATGGCCCATCCAACACTCTCTTGTTATCTATCGCTTCAGTTTCTCTTGATGACATGTTTTGAGATGGTGTAGGGTCTATGGGTGCCTCTTATCCTTTGGGAGTAATCCGATGATCGGATGTTAGTTGTGGTTGCTTTCCAGTAACAATTGCCGTTAAAACGTTGTGTCCGCTACCGCTCGCCCCCACAGCTGGCCTACTTCATACATGTCGCGTGTAGCTCAATAGTATTTTGGACGAGCGACTAACCAGCACGACTGACGTGGTAGATCATGTCACATGTGAGTTCGATAACACCATTGGACAAGCGGCTAACCCGACCTAGCTGGTAGATCACAGCCATGTGAATGTCTCATGTGAACCAAATCTAGCTGGTAGATCATAGACATGTGAATGAGACCAACATGGTAGATCACAGCCATGTAAATACGTCTCATGTGAAGCTCGATGACAGCATTGGACAAGCGATTAACCAGACCTAGCTAGTAGAACATAGCCATGTAAATATGTCTCATGTGAACGTAAATCACAGCCATGTAAATACGTCTCATGTGAAGCTCGATGACAGCATTGGACAAACGATTAACCAGACCTACCTGGTAGAACATAGCCATGTAAATATGTCTCGTGTCGATGCCTCGTGAGCCTACATTGCCACTCTCTTTTCTCAATGTGGATCGATTTAAAATGAGTTTCCCGTACATTAAAATAGCCAGCAATCTGTGTTATACCCACCCCTGCTTCACATGCCCCCCCCCCCCCCCCCCCCCCGTATTTGTTGGTGGATGAGAATCATTATAGCAGGATTTTGTGGTCGATCGAGTAGAGCTCACGAAAAAAATAAACCTTTAAATCTCTAGTTCGTATCCCGGGCACGATTCTGTAGGACCTTCCTGAGTCCACTCAGCTATGATGGGTACCCGACTCACGTTAGAGAAAGGCGGCTGAGCATAGAACTGGCCGTACTATTGACTTTATATTCTACGAAAACCGGTGAAATCTACTTCCTTTTATTTTTCTCTTATAGACAAAACTCGCGGTAAAGTTGTTGGAAAAAGTCCAAAAAATAAAAATCATGCCCAAGAATGACACTTTATTTGTTTTATTCTGTGATCACATATATCTGTGTTATTCGCCAAGTTTTCCTGTTACACTATTAAAGTTTTACACTAAATATTGATAGCACCATCCCACTTCATGACCACGGAGCTAATTCTTCCTTGAGTTAAAATTTATTTCTGTCTTCTAAAAATCACGGCTAGGCGTTTAAGCTTATTTGTGACGACCCTCTCACAACTGTTAAAAAAATCAATGCGCATTGTCAAGTTAATTTTTAAACTAATTTGTAGCCCAGGGAAATGGGGGGGGGGGGGGGGGACTAGGTAAAGTCGGGTTAAAATTTAATTAATTAAGAATACCGTAACTCAATTCCTTAAAACCAAAATGGATGATGGCACGCGGCATTTGATTTATTGTAGAAGCGTCACGAACTATGTAATGCTCAAAATTCTTCACTTAGATGTTGCTAGTATTTGTGTAGTGGTGATGGGGGGGGGGGGGCGACTAATAGACATATTCCACATTTTCCTTTATTTTGGTCCATATGAAATGAAAAATGTCAAGTCTCTATCTTCTACCATATAGCACCTCGTCT